TACTTTCAAGTGAAATAAATAGGACACACGTGTAAATACCAAATAGTTTCTCTGGTGTGAGAAACTGAAAGTGTAAATAAGGATTAAAATGATTAAAATGAATAATTGATAATTTGAAATAGGAAGTAAAGGTCCAAAGGTGGAGGGGTGGTGGGAGGGGAAGGGGAAAGGAAAGAATGGAAAGGAAAAATTATGAGAAAAGAAAAAAATGGAAATGAAGCCTATGTAAATAGGGAAGGGTGGAGGGGTGAAGGGCGCACAGGTAATGGGGAAAAAATAAGAACCAAGATACATCATGTGCAGGTACCAGCACCCAATGATGAATGTAAATGTATTGTATACCTAAAATGTGCCAATAAAAGAATTTAAGGGAAAAAAGAGAAAGACATCAAGGGAAAACCTGAAGAATTAGAGATAGGCATCTTTAGGGTTCAGCATTATTGCACATTGTCTGCTAATGAGAAGAACTTGGCTGACTTTAAATGACATGGAATAAGTAATGGTTTTGAAAAGGAATACTCCAAGTAAATTCTTGAAGATGTGGCTAGCCCTCAGGCAAGTTCATCATGTTGGAAATACATCTTTGAGTTTCCACTCTTCCCACCACCATGGAATGGTAAATCCAGATGGGACTATCTCTAGAACAGCCATGTTAGAAATATATGTGAGTGTTCTAGAAAACTTTCTCATAATTTTCTGGGAAGATCACTCTTCCTTAAGCAGGATTATGTTTTTAAAAATAAGATAATTTTTGTTGTCAAATTTTAAAACAGAAACCTAGAATTTTAAAACTAAAACTTTGCTTAGATATCAGTTATTTAATGAATATGACCCGAAGGCTGAATCCAGGAGGCTGAAGGAGCAAGGGTTCCAATGGAGAAGATGGAAGATAAAATCTCAGCAGCTGGAAAGCATTTTTAGAAAAAAAGAACACTCCTCATGGCCATTCTTTTCCAATACTAATTTATTATCTGTCCTCTCATTCATTAAAATAATGTTTTTACAAACGTAAAATTTAGTGACATAAATAACAAGGTCTTTAAATGAACCATGTCCTGGGATTGTACACTGCTCCGTGCATTGTGAGTACAGGATAATTTATGTTCTCTGACAAACATGTACATATGCCTCAGTGTAGACTTACCTAAATAATACAACAAGAAAATCATACACTTACTCTCGTGATGCTTCTGGGCCAGATAACTTCTCTTATCTCTGCCTTACAAACTGTATGTGAATAGAGCCTTCTTCTCTGGAAACTTCCCTGCCTTCCACACCACCCTTGGGGGCTGCCACTTTATCTCATGGCTTTCCCACACCGAAGTTTACTTGTCCAATAACAGGCAGTCATCCAAAGTAAGCCAATCATAATGTCCCATACCATTGGCTTCATCTAACTATGATTTGTCTGGCATTGACCCTGTCAGAGTCCATCAAAGGTTGAGAGCTTGAAATCAAAGAGAACAAATGTATGCCAATCTCTTCTTGGTGGTGAGAACTACCAGATAAGGAACTTATGAATGAAGGAATGAAAAAAGGAAAGAAAGGAAGAAGAATAAGAGAAAAGAAAATGAAATGAAAGTTCTAACTATTGTACTGCAGTGTTTCAAAACACTTTTATAATTTCTCTTCACAACCACCTTTAACCTGAAACAAATTATTATTAATATATCAATGGTAAAAACCAATTTTTGAAGATGGGTATTTGCCTAATAAAATAAAACAAGTATTTGGGATTGTAAAAACTGTGCTTCATCTTCAGGCTTCCCTCTGAAAATGTCTGCAGGACTCAAGGGCTGCTTTGCAGCCTCTGGCCCCTCACTGGCAGCTTTACACACACCTCCCTCTATATACCTAACACTGGGATGGGACTGGTGCTGACCCTTCTCCGTCATGGCAGGGTCATGCGTATGTCTACCCATACACCCACCGACAGTTGTGATGGCTGCTGCTGCCTTCCTCCTGTAAGGTGCTCAGCTCCAGGAGAGCTCCATCAGAGCCTTCGTCATGGTGCCCAAAGACTGCTGACAACAGGGAGTTGGAGCAGATGTCGGAGTTAGGCAAAGGAGTATGCTGATCACAGGTGTGAGGCAGCGCATTGTCTCAGGCAGGGAAAAGCAGATGGATTCGCTGAACCAAATATGCATCTGCTTGGTAACTGTCTGTCTGTTACTTATAGGTACTTGCAATGGTGGTAATTGCAGAAATTATTCCAGTCTTTGAATATTCTCCTTACTCTTACTGGGATTTATTATATTTTATTTTTGTGTTTGGTCTTCTTGTCCTATAATTTGAACTGAAATTTTATGTAAAAATTAGAAGGAATTTTTAAATAATATAATTCAATAACATTTCTCCAGAAAATGATTTATCTCTGGCATTAATTTTATTTAGAAAAATATTTTTGTGGTCTTTTATTGCTTCGGGTTAATCATCCTGATTCCTTTGTACTGAAATGTTAATTTGCTTAAAAATTTAAATCTTTATTGGAAAATAGACTCAAAATTGATGTTTCTATCAACAATCCTAAATATTGCTACAATAAAACAACACATCCTGCAAAGAATTTCTAATTTATTTAAAATCATTGTCACAGGGGCTCAGTTAGTCTTCATGTCAATCTTCTAAACAAAATTGGGACTATGTGATATTCTTTTCACTCACCAACTGCTAACTGATTGCTTATCATGAAGCAACAACAGTAAATAAAAGGGATCTAGTCTATAACCCAAATGATTTAATTTGAAGAGACATATATTGTTATTGTTATATGGATATATAATGTTGTATATGTTATATGTAATTGTTATTGTTATATATTGTTACATGTTGGAAGGGAGTTCGGGGAAGACTTCCTGGAGAACTAAGTTGATGTTCAAAGACATGCAAGTAGGAGCAACTTAAATGCAAAGATAAGGAAAAGAAGAGCATTGTAGACAGAAGGAGAGGGCGTTAGAGGTCTCTGAGCTAGCAGGGTCTTGGCAGCCTGAGGACCTGGGTTGACTAAATGCCAGTAGTGTAAAAGTTGTTTAAGGCAGAATGACGTGGACTGCAGGAAAAGCATGACCATTGTACACAGACAGTAAGACGCTGATGGAGTATAAAGAGAAGGATGTAATGATATTTTAATTTAATAAGGATCCTTTCAGGGACATGACATAGAATAGTCTGGAACAGAGAAGGACTGGTTGTTAAAAGACAAGCTTGGGCCTCTGACAGGAGATAGTGTCTTGGACTAGGTGGGAAAGAGATTCGAGAGCAAAGCAGCAGCTGGAACCGCTAAGAAAAGCAAAGGAGGAGTCAAAGATGGCTTCTGGTTTTGAGCAAGTAAGAGAAAGACCTGAATAAAAAGCAGGTGTCCATGTGTGGAAGATGATAGTTCAGCGCTGACACGATGAGCTTTGGGCATTGGAGGCCGAATCTAGCAGTCTGAAAGGTAGAGGGTTCAAATGAAGAAGATGAAAGACAAAATCTCAGCAGAAGGTAGCCTAAAAAATAAATGAATATTTTAGAATGAAATATACAATCCATAAAGCATGTGCCCACCTCCATATACTCAGGGAAAATTATGGAGTCCCTAGTAATATCCACATTGCTTCCAACTCCTGTGTGGCATGGTTTTGCTTTAATAAGAGAGAGGAGACTGTTGTGAAATGATTTCATCTTTTTATTGGTTTGGCACAGCCTAAATGCTGGACTTATAAAAGGATAAAATAAGTGAACAAATACTAAATAAAGAAAGAGTAAAGTGCAAAGTTAGTAAGCTGAAATTTCTGATATGATGAAATAAAATATAAAAATCTTTATACAAATTTATGTATGATATCATAACTCTTGTTATTGGAAAAATCCATAAAATGACCCTGGATCTGTTTGAGAGTTGAGTTTACCTCTTACCCTTGATTTTAATCATGCATCATACAGATGGACTCTAGTAATATCAGCTTATCAAGTCACGATCTGTCGTGAATAGACATGCATGTCTATCAGTCTGTCTGCCAACTAATATGCTTGTTTCTGTGTCCTTTACAGGGAGCAGTAAAATGCCTTGCAAAGCCAAGGATGCTATCAAAGTATAATTGAAGAACACCAACATTTTAATCATTTTTCTGACTTGATATTGCTACATTTGTACATTTTTATTCAAGTCATTCATTTTGCAAAATAAATTATGAATTATTTCCCTGAACTAATTTTTTTGGGGGGATACTGGGGATTGAACTCGGGACCTTGTGCTTTTGAGGCAGGTGGCAGAACCACTGAGCTAAATCCCCAGCCCTCCCTGAACTATTTTTTAACCTATGAAAGCTGACTGAATTTTGGCAATGTTTTACTGCAGGTGACTACGTTGTCATGACTATCTATTTTGAGTTAAGTAGAAGAATGGGTTACTTCACTATTCAGACATACATCCCCTGTATACTCACTGTGGTTTTATCCTGGGTGTCATTTTGGATCAAAAAAGATGCTACACCGGCAAGAACTGCATTAGGTAAGTTTTAAAAAGTCTGCCAATATTTTGTGTAATTTTAATGCAGCAAATCTAACTCAATCTAACTTGAGAGCTACTTGAACCATTTCTGAATTTTTTAAGTATCTAAGTGAGGTTGCTCTTTCTGATGATGGAATTCCATGTGTACTACTTAAATTGAGATGAATTAGGGATTCACAATGAGTTGGTTGCATTATCTGATGCTAAGCTTTCAGGCTGATGTCATCAGAAAACTGTGGGTGCGTCCTGGGTCCTGCCAACTCAGAAACCTTACCACTTCTGTATGAGGAAACAGAACTTGCCACAGGAGACACACTCTTTGTAAAATGTTCTCTCAAAAGAGAATCTCTGCTGTGTGTTACAGCTATGGCAGCAAGCAAGAAAGTGACCATTCTTGTCAGAAGTAATGCATGCACCTCACTCGGTGTCCTCACGAGCTTTCCTATGGTCCTCCAACTCCCCTTAACAAAACTCTCACTTGCAACAATTTTAAAATTTTGCAGAAACTTATTTCAATTTTTAATAAGAGTTTTGCCTTACTTTCAGAGTCCTATGACAGGTAGTGATGTGAGACTGAATATAAAGGTTGTCTCCCCAAAATGTCTTCTTTGGAAGGAAGGAGCTGTCTCGATTCCAGCTCCTTGGAAAGTCCTTCGTATCACCTCGAGCTTTCCCTGTGTTTGGTTTCTTGAGTTTTGCTTGTTTGACAGCTGAGTACATTTGCTTGAGATTAGTCAGCTTGAAATGTATTCTACCAGTATTCATTTGCATTGTCATAGAAAATACAGCATAGAAGTGGTAAATCAGCAGGCAAAGATATTAACATAAATTCAGTAAGTGCTATTAGTGTTCTGCTCACAGAGTTAGGAATGTTAGGTGTCCTTATAAACAAAATTTATAAAGTGTAGCTCAGAACATTACAGTATGTTGTTCTGTTTGCACTACTTTTGTTGTGAGATCAAGCAGAGATAATAGAATTATGCTGTGTTGTCAGATAATATGCCCAGAAGTGTGGAGGAACTTTACTAATACAATCATGTTTAATAAAGAGGTACTTTAGAGCTCCTTTAAATAGAGTTTGAACCAAGTCATGACAAGATCAAGGACAATAACTAGCAAAACAGCTGTCATAAGAAAGCAATCAATGTGCTTTTTAAAATATAACGTGGTCCAGACTTCTTATAATGTATCATGCACAATGGTAAGCATATAATGAAAATTATGATACACTCCAGGAAGTAAAAAGGTATTCCCCATGATGAAATGGTAATGGAGAAAGACAAGTTTGACATTAAATCAGCAGACATAAAACTTTAAAACAGATATTATATCAAGGTCCATGGCTTTAAAGAAAAATAGAATCTTAATGAATGAAGAGATGAATTTTCTCAACAAAGGAAGTACAGAGAAAAGATTTTAGAATGAAATGTGTAATATGTGAACTGAAAAATTCACTAACTGAACTTCAGATTGAAGATGGCAGGGGAAAAACCTTTGTAAATGTAAATATTATCATGTAAAATGCATGTAATGTGAAAAGGAAAGGATAAAATTTTTTAAAATGAATACAGCCTCAGTAAACTGCAGTATACAATGAATATTTATAACAGAACTACAAAAACTGTTTCCAGAATAAGAAGGGAAAAAGAATGATGCCAAAGATTTTAAAGAAATAAAGCAAAAAGAATCAAATTTAGTAAAAATCACCAACCTGTAAATGATAATAGCTTAGTGAAATCCAAGCAGGTGAACTACAAAGAAAATCATGATAATCCATGTGTGAAAAACAAACAAAATCTTGAGTGGAGAAGCAAAAATAATGTTGATGACTCATCTCTCCTATTCAATAATGGAGGCCATAATATCACAAATTATCACCCTTAAACTACTGACATGTAAGAAAAAAAACCTATCCACTTAAAATTCTATAGCCAAAGAAACTATATGGACTTCCCAGACCTTGTTAGAAAAAGACATTTTTACAAAACAAAAATTGAAAGTATTGTCAAAGAAATCTAAAACCACAAGAAAAATACTAATGCAGGTTAATTAGCCAATGGAAATAAACCAAACAAAAAGCTAAATACCAAGTACCAATATCAAGTCAATAAACATTACATTACAAAGGAAGATACCTACCTACTACATGTGTCAATACACACAAGCATATTAACAAAATAAGAAAGAAATAGTCACGACATCACAGTCCTCATTTCTACAACTGGCCACATGGTCACAATTAGTATTTTTTCCACGTAAGTTTATTGGTATATTTTAGGTAAACATTATAAGCACATTCATCACTGGGAATTTGTACCTGTACATGATGTATCTTGGTTCTTGTTTTTTCCCATTCCCCTTCCCTCCCTTCCACCCTTCCACCCCCCCCATTTACAAAAGCCTTGTTTCCATTTTCTCCTTCTTTTCTCATATTTTTTTCTTTCCTTGCTTTCCTTTCTCCCACTCTCCCTTTCTACTTCCCCTTTGAACCTTTTCTTCCTATTTCATATTATCTATTATACATTTTGGTCCTTATTTAAACTTTCAGTTTCTCACACCAGAGAAACCATTTGGTATCTAGGAATCAATCTAACAAAGGAAGTAAAAGACCTCCACTTTGAAAACTATAGCACTCTGAAAAAAGAGATCAAAAAGGATATCAGAAAATGGAAAGACATCCCTTGTTCTTGGGTAGGAAGAACCAATATAGTGAAGATGGCCATACTTCCACAACTGCTATATAAATACAATACAATACAATCAGGATTGAAATTCCAATGGTATATTTCACAGAACTAGAATCCAAAAATTTATCTAGAGCCAGAAGAAACCCAGAATAGTAAAAGCAATTCTAGGCAACAAAGACAAGACAGGAGATATCACAACCCCCAACTTGAAACTGTACTACACAGCTACTGTAATAAAAACAGCATGGTGCTGGCAAAGAAACAAACCCAAGAATCAGTGGAACAGATTAGAAGACCCAGAAAGAACTCCAGACACACTCAGCCACCTCATCTTTGACAAAGGAGCCAAACACTCTCACTGGAGGAAAGATGGTCTCTTTAATAAATGGTGCTGGAAAAACTGGGTTTCAACTTGCCAAAGATTAAAACTAGTGCATATCTCCCACCATGCACTAAACTAAAATCAAAATGGATCAAAGATCTAAATATTAAAAGAGAAACACTAAACCTGCTGGAAGAGAGGTTAGATAGAACTCTTGAAGTCATTAGCGTAGGAAAAGACTTTATGATCATAGCTGGTATTTTTAATTACCTTCTTCTGCTACCCTTTCTGTGTTCCCTTGGTCTCTAGCAAGCACCTCAGAAATCTTGGTTCTTTACCTGGCAGGGTGACTCTATTTGTGAAGATTCTGGGCCGTTTGACATCTGCCTTAATAACAGGGCATGGTAATATCAGGAGACGCCCTAAGGGATCTCCTGCACTCCAAGTACATTATTTCCTCGTCCGTTGTGAAGACCATGGGGATTTTCCCTTGGTAGTCTGGGTCATCACCCTGCCAACCTTGCAGTTCCCCTTCCTGCTCACTGACTCAGAAGCACGATGACCAAAATGACCAAGGGGAAGTCTTAGCTTCCATTTCAGTGGAATCGTTGTTGGGCTTCCTGATGCAAGCCTTGCCACCTCTGGAACTAAGGTCAAGGGAACTGGAAGCAAAACCTTTGCTAGGGGGTCACTGGTGGTAGTGGTGAGGTACACCATTCACACTTTTCTGCTCCTCAGTTTGTGGCCTGCGAATCAGTCACCCACAGACACACTCAGCACTGCGCTAGTCTGCCAGGCGGGTCTAACTCGAGTCAATGTATCACAGTTAAGTTGTTTACAATTTGTAAGTTTAAATTCCAGGCCATTCTGAGCAATATAGTGACACCACCCTGTTCCATTCCACCAGAAGCGTGAGTCATCCCTTGTCCAGCATTCCCTTGCTTTAAACACTGTTCACTTTAGTCCCTTGGCAACCGTCACAGTTAGCAGATCAGTTGTCACCATGTTGCAGTACTTGCCTTCAGGTAACTCCTATTTACTTAACAATGGCCTCTGAAACACAAAAGTGCTGGTGCTGGCAATTTGGATATGCCAAAGAGAAGCCAAAAAGGGCTTCCTTTAAGTGAAAAGGCAAATGTTGACTAAGTGAAGAAGAAAAATCATATGCTGAAGTTGCATTGCTTATATTACTCACCTCACTTCATCTTACCATGAGGCACCACCTCACACCATCACAGGCAAGGGGTGGATCAGTGCTGTACGACAGATATGTTGGGAGAGACATAGCAGTCACAGAATTTATCACAGTGTATTGTTGTAATTATTCTATTATTTTTAACTTCTTACTGTGTCAATTCATAGAACAAGTTTTATCATATGAAACGTGGTCATAAAATATGGTGAATGCTTAAATTTTAAAAAAATCATTGCAGTAAAAGACACATTGCCATTCAGCCCCTAAAAATACTTCCCTTTGATTTGAACATACCTAGTCCATCATTCCTGCCATTGTCTGAAGCAGTGCTGGGAGTCATTTTTCATGAATGTCTTTAATTGTACTGTCAGACTACCTTAATTCCTGAACTGATTGAAAACATTTACCTTCATGGTCATTTTGACTTTAGGGAAGAGCCAGAAGTAGATAGTGCCAGGTCCAGTGAATTAAGTAGATGAGGACACACTGTAATTTCCTTTCCACTGGATGGCATTCGGCAGCAGCATTCGCAATGTTTTTTTAATCACACCTCATGAAGACATTCATAGACATGTATACAAGGAAAAAGCATGTATGTGTAGGACCTGGTACTGTCTGCAGTTTCAGGCATTCACGCGAGTTCTGGAAAGCAACTCCCAGGTATAAGGGCCACTATATCAATAGTGTACACAAACAAAATACCAGCAAAGAAGAGGGGATCTGAATAATACTTTTCATGTCCCTATTTGGCATTATGGAATCCTACACCTAAAAAATACATCACACAAACTGACTTTTAACTGCCTACCACCAAACACAAAAACAATTTCACATATATCAAAGGCTAAGGTGACAAGGCTAAAGCTGCAGGATTACTAGAAGAAAAACTTAGAACTCTTAACATTGGACTAAATAAAGATTTCTGAGACCAGAAACAAGGAGGTTTGATGAAGAAAATGAAATCATTTATGACATAAATATACACATGAACAAATACATATTGCATATTATTGAACATGTACAACATCATGAAGATTTTTTTGGTTATATACAATAAAGGTATCTTCTCCAATGTATAGCTTCTCTCTCTATTGTAAGTAAAATTTTGCTTTGTAATAATTTTAATTCCATAAAATAAAGCCCAGAATTTCCAAGATATAATCAAGTATCATTCAGCATACAAGAAAAAAATGCCAATATTTAGATGACACAAAGGCTAGAATTATCTGATCAAGATTTTAGAGTGGCAGCATAAACATTCTTCAGTGAACAATTACAAACATACTTGAACCAAATGAAAAAAGTAAGATTTTCACAGCAAAGAAGTAGAAGATATAAAGAACCAATTGCAAATTTTAGAACTGAAAAATGAAACATGAAAAAAAAACTTCACTGGAATGCTTAGCAACAGAATAGAGAAGATTAGGAAGTAATCAGTGAATTTAAATATAGGACAAGAAAAATTACTCAGTCTTAGCAAAAGAGAGAATTGACTGGAAAACCACTAATAAACTGAGTTGATAACCGAGATGGTAAGCAACAATCTAACACTGTGTCATTGAAATTCCAGAAGGAGAAGAAAAAGAATGTGATTCTACAAAGCTATTCAGAGACTAAATTGAAGACTAAAGCTATTCAAATGACTAAACATGTCTCAAATTCACCAAAAGACATAAGTCTGCATGTTCGAGAAGCTAAGTGTACAGAGCCTGGTGGCACAGAGCTGTGCCCCCAGGGCTCTGGTGACTTTCTCCCTGAGTCCCCTGTGTTCCCCTGGGAGTGCAGCACACACAGCACTTAGGGTCCTTGGGAGCACCCTGCTTGCTCTGTAGCTAAGAGGCTGCCCAGAATTGAGTAAGAATCTCCATCTGGTTGTCTCCTCAGCATGGCGGATCTCTCAGTGTGAGTTGGGGTGGGAGACAGGTGACCTTGTCTGCAGTGGAACACAGGCCAGCACTGCGGGACGTACAGACACAGCAACTTCACTAAAGCAGAAATTAACACTTCAGACTCTTCTTAGACATGACATGAGCTTTTCCTATAAACATATACCTTGCATCAGTATATAATTTTCCAGTTTACCCATCATCTCTACATGAAGGACCAGAGTGTACCCACCTATAATAAGGAGAGGCTGGCATTCAGACAGTGATTTTGAAAACTGATTCAGAGAAGGTAATGATTCCCCATGGCAGATGCCGAGAAGGCCAGGATGAGGCCGGGGGTGTGGACTGGCGGGGGACACCCTCTGCACCTGGCCACGCTGTTGGCCCCAGGGAGTATTCTCCAACTGGCCCTGGCAGAACCACAGTGGTCGGGGCATGAAGGAAGTCATGGAGGGCGATGCTGTAGCCCGGGAGAAGTAATGTTACTCACCTGTCACATGCGCTTGACCTCTGACTGGCACTGTGACAGAGGCCTGTGATTCCGCAGTCCATGGCACTCACCTGTCCCGTCCAGGGGCTCTAGAGAGTCTGACCTCCCAGGGAATTCATCCCAGGAGAGCTCGCCTTGTCTTGTGATGATCGCACGTCGCTCTTCCATTCTCCCTTATTCTCCACAACCCTTTTTCATGCATCTTCCTTATGAACTAGTCATCTTCAGTATTGACCAATATATCACAGTCAAAATCAAACCAATATCGATTACCAGTATCGCCATAGTTAAACTGATTACCAATTGTCACTCGAAGAAAAAAAAAATTTAATTAAATGCCTAAAATGTGCTGGCTGCTATGCTGGGTAACAAGCAAAGATGAGCAAGATCCAATTTTGCTTTTAAAATCACACTATCTTCTTTCCTTTCCCCTGGAAAGGAGGGAAAGGAAAAATGATGAGAAATGGAAAAGATGGAAATAAAGTCTTTGTAAATAGGGAAGGGTGGAGGGCGTGAAGGGAGGGCTAGGAATGGGGAAAAATAAGAACCAAGATGCATTATATAAAGGTACAATTCCCAATGAGAAATGTAATTGTGTTGTACACCTACAGTGTACCAATAAAAGAAATAAAAAAATAAAATAAAATTTAAAAAATAAAATAAAATCATACTATCTATAAGATCTAGCTTTGCTTTTAAAGAACACACTATCTATTCAGGGAGACAAACATGTAAAGAGAGATGAATGCACAAGGGAGGGAGCACAGAAGTGACAGGGACAGCACAGATGCCAAGCTGTCACCCCTGTCGGGTGCTGACAGGGAGATGGCTCAGAAGGCGTGGTGCTGGAGCTGGTCCAAGGACAGCGGGGTGCACACACTGGACAGGGCGGAGCAGCAGGGAAGAGAGAACAGGCTCATCAGGGGCAGAAGTATGTGAGATGGGGAGTGGCCCCCATACACAGTGGGACTCCAAGCTGTGTCTTCATTTCAAAAGTATTTACAAGACAAAATGGTGCACAATAAGCAAAACACTAAATAAATTTAAAAGGGCCCATTCAGATACAGCTGCTCCTTCATCTACAGTGGAATTATGCTTTCACAAGCCAGCATAGGTTGAAAATGTCTTAAATCACAGTGCCCCTCATACACCTGCCCTGCTAAACTCCTAGCCTAACAACAGAACACTCTGGAGAGTGTCATTCATTCCCCTGGTGATCACAGGGCCAAGGAGGAGCTAAGGCTCACTGCCGCTGCTCAGCATTGAGAAAGGATCCCGGCTGCATATCGCTAACCCTGGAAAATATCCAAATTCAGAAGTCAAAGTGCAGTTTCGACTGAATGCATATTGATTTCACAAAGTCATTAGGTTGAACTGACCAGGGGGTCCCAGCACTTCCGTGTCATTGTAAAGACTATTGTAAGAAATTTTATTGAACCCTTGCTTACAAATTGTACAGACATTAAAATTAAAAGTACCTGCCAGTGTGGTGGTGCACACCTGTAATCCCAGCACTCGGGAAGCTGAGACAGGAGGATGGCCGGGAGTTCAGGCCAGCCTGGGCCACACAGCAGGACCCTTGTCTCAAAACAACAAAAATTAAACTAAATGTAAAAGCGGCCATCAAGAGGAGTCGCGTAAGAGCGCCAGTTAGAGGGATGCCTGGTAAGCTTCAGTCTTGTCACATGGGCTGTCCCTCGCAGGCATCACCACGGTGCTGACCATGACGACGCTCAGCACCATTGCCAGGAACTCGCTGCCCCGAGTGTCCTACGTGACTGCCATGGACCTCTTCGTGACCGTGTGCTTCCTGTTCGTCTTTGCTGCTCTGATGGAGTACGCCACCCTCAACTACTACTCGGGCTGCAGAAAACCAGCCGCCACCAAGAACACAAGGCCGGTGAGTGGCAAGAAGGCAGCGGCGCCCTGCAGGGTAGGGGTAGCGGGCGGGTGGCTGCCCCAAGACCTCACAAAACGTGACGCAAATTACCCTACAGGACTTCCAGGAGCGGGGCTGGGCTCTGAGATGTGAGTGCGGCCCCGCCCTGCCTCCAGCTGCAGCCTCTGCCGGCCGGGTTGGCCTAGGTGGACCCAAGACTGCGCCCGGCTGGAGTGTCAGGGCTGCAGGCGCCCGCGGCAGCTTGCTCGTTCTTTCTCTTTCCTCGCAGTTGTTACCTCCCGAGTCCCCCAGCTGGATTCACGCGCCCGTGACCCACAGACACCTCTGTATGTACAGCCTGCGTGTGCCAATGTTTCTGAGAACTTGTCCCGAAGTCAGGCTGCGTTTGAAAGCTATGCTCCCGCTTAGGTTTGCCCAAACCTAAAACCAGTGAGAACGCACACAGTCCTTCAAAAATGTGTCTTCTACTACTCTGAGAAAGTCCAATTTGGAACATTTGCAAAATAGAGGAGAAAATTACTCATAATCCTTCTACACGGGGATTAGTGTGTAGCCTACATGTACATATTTCTAACATTTTTCTAGCCATTCAAATAATATATACTCATGCATTTTAAAAACTCAATTGTCATATATATTTTTTTCCTCTAGCCTCTTTGATATCTAAAAAATGTACTTAGGTCCCTGTGTCATCAATATTTTACAAGACCGTTTTAATGATTGAATTGCGTGCTCATGCTAGATGCACAGGCAGTGGTGGCTGGATGCTGAGCTTCTCTGCAATTTTTCCCTTGGGCACACATTTTCACCACTGCCATTTGGCATGCACCGGAGGCAGTGTGCTCAGTTCTGAACCCTTAGAAGCAGTGTACGGCCAGGGTTGTGTGGCTCTCGCCGAGGGCCACCCACCCACCCATGCACAGGATGGGCAGCCAGCTCCGAGAACGCGCTCGCCTTGGCTCGGTCACCGGGCAGAGCGTGCACCCAGGGACTGTTCTTCCTGTGTCTGAGGGCTGAGAGTGTAACCCTTTCACTTGTTTAGTTTTGACTTATGTGTCTGTTTTTGCGAGCTGCATTCTAGTGTCTTTTAATTTTTGTTACTATTTTAAAGTAGCACTAAGTCAATCATGTTATTTATTGTTTCATATCATATCTTACGGAACATCTATAATGTATAGAGTTACCTATGGAATATATTGGGGATATTAACTTACTGTGGTTTACAGTCCATGATTCATTGTCCTTTTTTGCCTTTTCCTACACACCTTGTTTAAGTTTTTGCTGCCAAGTCCGTCGGCTTTTCTGCTGTGGCTTCTGCCTCTGTGTCCTGCTGGGGAAGGGCCCCACCCCACTCCTCCCCCCGTCTCCTCCCAGTGATACACCCACCCCCACACCCCTCACAGAGTGTGTCTGTACCAACCCAGGTTACGTTCACAACACCTGACATTTTAGTACATGGTTTAAGGTAAGAATGCAGCTTTGGAGAAAAATTCAGAACTATATCTTTAAGTCACAGATATGAGCTACCACTTCTATCATATCACAAGTTTTGTATTAATTATGGATTTTGCTCCTTTATACATGTCAATTCATTAATTATACTGAACATTTGGTGCCCACCCATACACCACAAGTGGTCTTCCAACGACTAATCCGTGCTGCACGTCACGCATTTGTGCCTGCTTCCTAAGCAGACTCTGTGGTCACCCGTCCTCTGCAAGTGTGTGTCAGGGTCCCCAACAGGAGGTTAGTGGGCAAGCCAGTGTGACAGCTGTGGAAGGCCAGCCACTGCATCAGACAGCATCAGACGGAAACAGATGGAAGGGGATACGGAGTAAGGGACACAGCTGGAACTAACAGCCTGCAGCCAAGAGCACATTTGCCCGTACAGCGGGGCCAGGAGCTGTAGAGATGGTGTTGCCAAAAGAGAGGAAAAGTCCTCCCACACAGAGAAAAAAAATTCTATAAAGCTAGAAAAAATTCAAGAAAGTTTAGTGATCTTGAAGGAAGGGCAAAGAAAGACAGTTAAGACTAAGGGTGTCAGGCCAGGTGAGAAGACACAGTCAGAGAGGTTCAACCTGGGGTCAGCTCTTGTAGGGCCCGAAAAAGAGAAGCTTTGCAGCTGGCAGGAGACAGTTGTGGCTGCCTCAGCCCTTGCTCTGTTTCATTACTAACAACAACAGAGAAGCCAAGTGAGCAGCCTCCCAAGAGAGGCCAGATGAGCCAGCAAGCTGTTCCCACGGCTCTGGGCCTCAGTTTCCGAGCCTGTCGAGTGCAGTGCTCAAATACGTGGCACAAGCCCAGGCAGTGTGGTGCTCCAGAGAGGTTACAGGGCGTCGTTATACTCATTGGTGAGGGGAGGAGTCAGGGACCCGGCTTGGCCAAAGATGGCTTTGAGGGAGCACTCATTAAAATCTCTATCTTGCACATGGTTTGAAATATTAATGAAGATGGCAGGGATGCCTATAAAAAGTGCTTAAACAGCATGAAGTATAGCTGTAGAGCTGTATAAGTTCCTATCCTAACTTTTATTTCAGTCCCATAAAATGGAATACAATTCATTTCGAATCACTAAGCTTTTGAAACATAGAGCTTTCTTGAATATACTACTTTCTGTGTGTTTCGGTGACCATGGGCTTTTAGTTCTCTAAATGAAGGAGTGAATGAGAGCTTTCTCTTGCCACCAGAATCCTTGCTGCTGCTTTGCCTGCATCCTCCTGATGTCATCCTTTAGAACTCCAGAGATCGGTCCCACCCCTGCCAAGCCCTCTCAGGCCCCGTCAGAAGCATCCTCTTCCCCGGGGGGCTGCCCTGCCTGGTCATGACTGTTTGGTCCCATGGTTCTCTCCATGTGGTGGGGGGCTGCACAGCTCCCAGGATTGAAGACAGGGATGGATGAACATCTGGCTGAGGGTGCCAATACATGCATGAAGGAAAACCTTTAATGCAACTGTTACCTAATAAAGGCGGTTTTCCCAGCTGGTGCTTTTTGAAACAATGCACGCATTGGGGTGGAGGCAGGGATTGCCCTGTCTCAGCAACCCCTCCTGGTGACTTTACATCCACTTGGTTTGAAGACTCATTAACCTGGAGGAGTCTCATGTTTCTTAGAGCTGTAGGGACAGTAGGACTTCCACTTCTGCTCACACCCCACACTTACAGAGGAAGGGGACAGCACACAGTGACGCCTCCTGTCGGGACGGGGGGCCACACTCATGAGGAGAAGGCCGTGCCCAGGGAGGGTACACTTGGTGCACAGCATCTCTCTTTAGGTCAGAATTGTGCATGTTTTCCCCTGATATAAGACTGCACCCTAGAGCTTAGGGTAGTGGCTTTGGGTGCTGGACACTTCTACCTCCTCGCCCTGACTTATCACTCCACATAGTCATAACAGAGTCGAGTTAAGATCCAGAAAGAGAAGGCAAAGCGGTTGTGTTCCTATTCCCCTGTAATAGTAGTTTTGGACAATGCAGAAGTAGATTCTCACAAGGCTTTCCGACAATTCTGCATGCCCTATTTCCCAGCACGGGAAGCCAGGGCAGAGGAACAACCCAGTCGGTCATCCCTGAAGTGGGCATCTACCTCCACCTCTCCTCAGATGCAGGCTTCCAGGTTTCCATGGGCCTGCCTGTCTCTGCTCTGCCAGCACAAATGAAACGGAAGTAGACAGGCAAATAGGCTTTTCCATGCTCTTCCGCTATGCAGTCAAATGCAGGGATGTAATCTCCTAATAGAACTCAGTCTGATGCCGAGATCATAGTTATTTGGAAGAGCTTGGCGAACTGTCTGAAGAAGTGATGAGCTTAGGACACTTTTCAAGGTTACACATGATCCCTCTCACTTGAGAGAACAGTAAGCCATTCTCTCTGTGTTACTTGCCACATACTAGTGTTTCCCTATCAGAGGACAGCTTAGGAAGCCAGAAAGCGAACGTTCCAGGCACAGCACAGCCTGTGTTACATTGCCTGAGATGGGAAGCTATATCCAGCTGCCCCACACGGAAAGCTGCCTTTTTATCCAAACTACATGAAATAAGAACATTCCGTCATCATTCCTGTACACATTTTTACAACATATTAATTAGAAAAAATGTCATGTTTATTCTACTACATTTTAATACATGTACTGCTTTACATTAAAGAGTAAATATATGGTATGTACATGTTGTTACCAATCAATAGAAAAGTAGGCAGAATAGAGATCTGAATTGACTACAACATATCTGACAATATGCCCAACTCCCCTCATGTGAATGGTCTGGGAAGTGCAAGCGTTGAGATCGCAGCACAGTGTTCCCTGCATTGAAGTTGCCCACATGGGAGGACTGAGCCTGACCTTTGCGGGGGATGGACACACCCATCCATCCACTTCCTTCCCAGCGGGTGAAAGAGATGCCCATTGCTCACTGTGCCTCGGGCTGTTTCCAGTGCATTTTCTGATGATTTTTGTGCTATTCTTCTTGCCTGCAGAACTATTCTCTCCTGGATATGAGGCCGCCACCACCTGCCATGATCTCTTTAAACAACTCTGTGTACTGGCAGGAGTTCGAAGACTCCTGTGTGTACGAGTGTCTGGATGGCAAAGACTGTCAGAGCTACTTCTGCTGCTACGAAGAGTGCAAGTCAGGGTCTTGGAGAAAAGGGCGGATCCACATAGACATCTCAGAGCTGGACTCGTACTCCCGGGTCTTCTTCCCCACATCATTCCTGCTCTTTAACTTGGTCTATTGGGTTGGATACTTGTATCTCTAAGTGCTGCCCATAGTGACGAGTGAAGAGCTCTTGGTTCACATTCTTTACCTTCGTCATCCCCAAGACTAGTAGCGATCAATCCGGAGTCTCAGAGAAGAGCACTGCTTGGTTTATCTTAAGTTATAAATTACTTTTCAGCAGCACAGGATGTATCTGGCAGATATTCCTAATATATATCACACACACACACAGACACACACTGAATTTAACCAAATTTTAAAGTGGTATTCTTGCTAATCCTATTGAGTCTATAGCTTGGTGATGTTTTTTAATGGTTTTCAGTACTGGAAACAGCTGCCAATTACCCTTGCAAAGAAATCTAAAAAACAGGCAAGCAGCTATGTGAGCGGCTCTCCTGGGCCTGCCCGATCTCTCTCTCCTTCACGGTCCTTGGCACCAGCACTCACCTGAATGAAGCGCTCCTGGCAGACATGCCCTCACATCAGTCCCAGCCCTGTGCACAAGGCGCTGAGTTCCAGTCCCGTCTGCAGTCAGTACTGGGGCCCATTTCCTCTCTCTGCAGCCTCTTCTGCTCTGGCACCGGTGTTAGCTGTCCTTTCTTGATCCAACAACTCACTGTAGGCCTGGGAAGAGTGCGCACAGGTCTACAAGTTTTCGTTTGAGGAAAAAATTCTAGTGTTGCTAAAGTCAAAGGTGTTGATTATCCATGAATATTAGGAGGTAATTACTTAATTCCAAGCTACCAAGAGTCAACAGGACTTGAATGTTGGGTTCTTGGACTAGTTCAACTTTAATTCAACATTTCCCCTTAAGAGATATGTTCTACCAGACCAAAGCTCAACCCCAAAGTATGTGTCTGGCTTATGTTGTTATTATGGTTCAAAAATTACTTTCATCCAGAAAAGAGAGACATAGCATGCATAAGCCTTTGCTTTGAAATCATATTCCAGAGTATGCAAGAAATGTAGGTAGAATTTCAAAAATTTAATGAATATTGATTTTTAAATTAAACCAATTTTAGATGCAAACAATGAGTAATGGCTGTCACCAGTTATACATTTTGATGAGCAAAAATCATTTTGTACTTTCAAGTGTGGATATATAGCAAAATCCCAAAGAAAAAATTCCCCAATCAATATACTTTTGATATTTTTATAATACAGATCCAATTTGCTTCCTGATATTAATTCTTTGTTATAACTGGAGGCCAATATGTACTTTATATGAATCTTTTGAAGCTTCTTTTGCGCAGCGGGGGGGAAAGTCCTACCGGTTAGTTAATAATGCTCTGGCTTTATTAAAATTTTAGTATTAGCATTTCTTTGCTCCCCAGTTGTCTCACCAGGAAACTGAATTGATTATATTGAAAATATTCATTTTTCAGTTATCTGTTGTGCATACTAACATTACTAAAATAAGTAAAACATTATGCAGAGAAAGTTTCTAAAAGCACTGATTCACACAATTACCAGAGGAGAGGATGAGAGCGGAAGAGACCAGGAAAACTGATATTAAATAGGTCGCTTATTATTAACGTTTTAACATTGCTGCATATCAAGTGAATGAGAAAAAACTGGTACACCACCACCCAAATTTCAAGGATCAGATTTACACAGTGGGATATCTAATCCCATTGTTTTTCTTTCTGCCAACTGTGTCTTTTGGTTTGATAGTTGCTACACAAGCCACAAGCCAATTGGCTGTACCTAGCAAATTTAATTTAAAAACTAAAATAATACTTGTGCAGAAATAAGTTGAAAAAGAATGGCTTAAATGAAATGTCTCCTCTCCTGGAGAGTTTCAGGGTTAGTATCCTAGTCTGTTCCTCAAGCGTGATGGAGCCAGCCCCCTGTGCAGACCCCCAGAGGGTAACCCATCACACCATAGCTCCAAGCCCAGAGCCCAGTGGCACAGACACAGTTTCCGGCACTGTACATTTATACTTTCTATAGTATGAAGAATTTTAACCTGTTACATCTTCAAGTAAGTTCAGAAAAAAATCTTCTAGTAAAATTCTTCTTGAGAGGAAAATAACTTAAAGGCATTTTTATAGCATAGATTTGGTTGCATGTTACCTTGAAAACAATTTGGCAGATGCCTTTTATTTGAGAACTTCTCTCTATTTGTAAGTCATTAACAATTCACATGTAACTTTGGGAAGGGATGGATAGAGGGAAATATACCAAGAGCCTCTGTTTTCTGAACCCTGCCTCTCCCCTCCTGACTTCAGCCACCCCCTGGTGAAATCACCGTGGTTCATGGTGTCTTCTCCATGAGGGAAAGCCTTTATCTCAAAAGCGTAAGAGATGTTCACACAATAGAGAATAAAATCGATTCCTGCCTACTTAGCCATCTGCCCACTGCAAAGTCTGACTAAAAAGAAGCAGAACACCCCCAAGAGCACTCCCATGCCTGTTTCTCTGCATAATTTATGTTCTCCAAGCCAATCTCAGCTCCTGAGGTGATCTGTTCTGTCCACAGTACAGGAGAGACGCACATGTCTTGTGCAGGTGCAGAGATCAGGGGCTTTTAAAGCAAGTTCCTGTTTCCTTTCTGGAGAAAGGGGGGGAAAGGGCAGGACAGAGTGAGAGAGAGGCATCCCTTTAGCTGACAGCCCTCCTTCCCAGGACCCTCGAAGGGGGACTGTGTGGACACAAGAGCCCCCGACCCTTCCTCACAGCTTCACCCGCCTGCTTCGCGTGTAGAAGTGGGGGTAGCTGGGGTGGAAGACGTCTGAGGGGTCTGCATTGAAAGGTGCTACTGTGCTCTTCTCGTTCAGAAATACTCTAAATCAAGGGCGATGGCTTCGTATTTTGACAAAGATGCCAAAATTTTTAACACTGTGCATCATTCTTAAGACTGTGACTGTTTCCCTTTTAAGCTGCATCCTGGGTGAGGGGAAAAAAGAAAAACTAAAAAAACATCTGACACATTGATGGAATTAGAGCAAAATGTCTCCTCAGAACCTAGAAAGTTTCAAAGCCACCACCCAGAACAAAGACTCCCCAGATGCTGGAAAAGAAGGACAATGTTACTATAATTTACTCTTAACTCAGCCAGTACTGCCCCAATATACCCAAAATATGCCTTAAAAAAAGCTCACATAATATGCATCTTGTAAGATTTTTCATTTCCTGCAATCAGCTCTCTCATGCCAGGTTTTCTCTTTTATGCATAGATAAAAAGGGGATTTCATTTCTTATATGATAAATGGTATTTTCCCTAATTTACATCAAATCAATTAAGTAGAGAATTTTTCTGGATGCTTTGATTGAAGAAATGCTTGTCCTCACTCACAAAGCATGTTCATTATGCATGTGGGAAATGGGCCAATCTGAAGGTCAGCCACCTAGTCCTTGTGACGGGAGCATGAGTGTCCATACAAAACCTTCACACCAAATAATTTTCCTGGCACTGGTTTGCTGCAGTGGAAGGAAGGTTTTAGACATGATGTCTTGCAGCTCTGCAAAGGGTCGTGCTCTGGAAACAACGGGAGGAGAGGAACTAGTAATCCCATGTTACAGTAACTAGTACTTGCCACAGCCAGGAAGCAACGGGACACTCTTTTCCAAAGGACTAGAACACAAAACAAATAAAACCTCTCTTTCCTTGATTATGTTTATCTCAGCTGCCAGACGGAAAACTTTGCAATTTCCTTAAGGACTTGACAAATTACAGCTGGTCTCCCGCCATTACGCTCATCACTCTGTAAGTTCAGTGCTCCATGGTACCGAGCACTTGGCATTCACGCAGATCCCACAAGATTATACCTTCAATTTCTACTTACACAATGGTGAATCATTAGAGATAAACAAAACCTTATGTAAATATACTTTGAAATATTAAACTTCATTATACTTATTAACTGTCCATTTGGGCTTCAAACACTAGCCCTTTAAAAAATATTCACAAAAGTGTCTGGAAATAAGGAGGAAGAAACAGATTAGGAACACACTGGAAATGTTCAATTCACACTTTTTTGCTTCACCCACTTTAAATTGAGGAAGTGTGTCATCTGTACATATTTCCTTCTCTCAGTTTGGCCCGTAGGAAACATTCGGGCTTTAAAGAGGTTAGCAGGACCTCCGTATTTGTGTTCTCCATAATATGCCATCCAAAGAAGTAAAAAATAACGAACAGTTGGGGATAAATAACAAGCTGCATCTCTGATCTATTATTGGTTTTAGCTTTTATTATAAAAATAATTTCTGTCATTATAGGGAGAAAAAAATGTATGTTCTGGGATGCTATATTTTGCTCTTTTCAGAATATTCAAGATTTCTTCTTTGCTTTTTTTTCCTAACAAAGTACAATCTGCCCTGTGTATCTATGGGTACTGAATCTATGATAGGAACCAACCAAGAATGGGAACATTTTTTTTCTTTAAATTGCACCTGTACTGAACATGTCCAGATCTTTTCCCTTGCCATTATTCCCTAAATGACTATTTGCACAGCATTTGCATACATTAGATATTCTAAGTCATTTGCAGATGATAAAGCACTTAGAAGGATTGTGCAGGTTCTATGTGAACACTGCACCATTTTTATTATAGGGCTAGAGTATCCATGGACCTTAGTCTCAGCAGCACCTCTGGAACCAGTCCCCTGCAGACTCTGAGGGAAAACCATAATGTTTACATTTAATGTGATGGCCTTAGACCCAGATTTCTCCGATTGCCTCACTGATTGAAGTTCCATCAGGAGCCTGTAGTTCGGTTATTTCAGTCCCCAAGATACCAGACTTCTCAGGATGACAATTTTGCCATTAACCACTTTTTCACAAAAGGATTAAAGTCCCCATTTTCCATCAAAAAATTCCCAATACACAGAAATTTTTAAAGTGGACTCCCAAGTCATCTGTGGGAAAATAATCATTGGCCCTTAATGTCACTTTATAGACATTGCAATAATCAGGATGGGTGGTAATAAGGAATGAGGTCGATGAGGCAAGGGGAGAGGGGACCCACTAGCTTGTCCTTCCTACTGAAGACAGGCTGGGCTTCCAGTCTGAAGTTTGGTTCCTTGGGCACAGCTGGCAAGTAGTTCCCAACAAGGCTCTTCCAGGATGGCTGGATGGACCATCGTGAGTTTCCCGTCTTGATTAATAAGACCCTTAATTAGCAGGAAAATTGCTCTGCCCGCCAGAGTACCATCTTGGAAGCTGAAGTTTGCTCCCTGGTCTAGGGAGAGCTGTTGGAAAGCAGAGTGCTTGGCTTTGGATTTATAAAAGGTTTGCTGGAGCCACCCTCATAGAAAGTCTTCACCTACTGCCAAAGTCTGATTTTCAGGAATAAAAGATGAATGCTTTGATTTGGTTCTTATGTATTACAACAGGCTTTTGTCCAGTATTCTTTATGTTTAGAACAGAGGCTTTTGATCAATGTCATCAGTGATGGAGGCCCCCAGTACCCAGAGCACTTCCACGGGGAGGTCAGAGCACCAGAGCCTGGCTTCACAGCACCTCACCCATTAGGTAACTGTAACAGGACTGGGCTCCTGCTTTTCCAGAGCAGCCTGGCAAGGCGCGGACAGGCTAAGGAAACAGCATTCTCAACTGACTTTGCATGTAGCTAAAAGATACATAATGCGGTGAAAACACACCTGCCTTGCTGACTTAAATTTCAAGTGGTCAGACAGATATGGTAGATTTTTTTATTGAAATAAAGTGCAACATCACCATCATCATCCTTCTTCTCCGTGTTCCTTCTTACCCTTCACTTTTTATTCAACACAAGTTTTAATGTTTGCTCCAAGCTACAACAAAGCATTCAAAAAAAATTAGAAAAGTTTTATTTTAGTTTAATTATGAAGTAGATCACAATCCAAAATTTTGCTTGCCTAAAACATTTTTCAGATCTGCTTTTTTCTCTAAATTCCTGTCTACCCTGGCTCAAGCAGAATTTGAAATCCCTGCAGTTCACCCAATTTTGAATTCTTGGTAACTTTCATCTTCTTTGTCATACTTTGGTGGCTTTTTAATTCCTTTCTTAGTGACAACATCGGAATTGACTAAGAACCATCTTTTCCCTAAATTGAATTGCATCTTCGGAAGCCAAATTTTGTTACCCAAAAGAACATTCATTATGCTGCTTTTCATATGATTTGGTTCTAGGCTTTAGTTCCCAGTGATTTATCTTAACTTTTTTACTTTGAATAGAGATAGACACTGAATAATATGTATTAGTGAAGTTTATAGTGTTTATTATTACATTATCTCAGTTTAGAACAACTATTTTATTAAAACATTCTGAAAGACACTTTACAATGGCTAATTTTGTGCTAGTGAAAAATGTTTACATGCTACTATGTTTGTACAATTACATATTTTTCTTTATGGACAGCTCCAGACTGAGCAAAGGTTTGCTTTTTGTGTGTGTGTATCCTACGAAGGATTCTAAGAGGGTAACGATTTCAGGGATTGGATTTGTATCCGGTTTGCATCAGGAGCCATCTTGTGTTTACATGCAGTGATGTGTATATTTGTGTATGTATGTACAGTGGTAAACTGGACACCTTATTAGTGTGTGTACTACTCTACCCATTGCCCCAAATTTAGCTGAAACAAGTAGAAAGGAGCAGTTTCCTAGTGATAGCATATTAGTTTACTAAGCCTCTGGTTAAGGCAAAAAGAAGAAAGGGAGAGGGAGAGAGAGGAAGAGACAGAACGTGACAATCTTTACATTTTCTGGAAATGTGGGATCACAGTCTTTCTTTAAAAAAAAAATCAGCAGTCAGTCTGGAATCCTAACAAGCCCGCCTGGTTCTGAGAGCGCTCCGGCTTCGGTGTTTTTACTTTGGGTCATGTCTGAGCGCCCTTGCTCATCTGCGCTTAGTGGACCAGAGGAAATGGAAGCCGAAGGCCCTGCGGGTCTCAAGGATGGCAGTCAGCAGCCGCGCCACGCTCACTAGGAAGCCGCTCCAGGCAGCGGGCAGCGCCGGCCTGGCCCGGGTCTTGTGTGCGGGCCACAGCCCCGTGTGGGTCCTGGGAGACCCAGCGGAAGGGACGGCGGAGAGGGGCAGAGGGTCCCTCCGGCCTGCGAAGCCGTCGGCGGCGGGGAAGGCGAGGAATTCCAGAGACTAGGAGTTAGCTCAAGCCCCGTGCAGAAGCGTTGGCCCCAAAGCCCCGTTCGTCCCGCGGGGCCCTGGACGCCTGGCTCGGGCGCCTGTCTCTCCCCTCCCTCGGCAGGGGACCCCCGCTCCGT